CTTTAACTATAATCGTAATCAAGCAAACGACAACTAAGTTATTCAACTTTTATTCAGGGCTCATTCCAGGAATATCCTTGTATCGTTCTTTCCTGTTGCTGGCTATTTGTCCGCAGAATAATGGTGATTGTTTGTTGTTCTTTGTGAAGAAAGAAGATATAGCTTATCCCTAGAAGACGTCGCGTGATCTTAGGATGTAGTCGTTCAGTGAGTTGATTAAGCCAGATAAAAGTAAAATGTACATTTTACCAAAGGTGCCTTCTTTGGGCAACGTTTTAAATTAGAGCTGTATTTAATGTTGGTTTTCGCTCATAATCTTGTAACGGCGCTTGAATGGTCCAGTTTCTCGATCCGGCCCAGCCAGACCCGTTTTTTCGGGACTTCGTTGGCGTCGGCACACGTCGGTGTACGGCGAAACGTGTGTCAGTATCGTCGAATGTCGTGCCGCCTTATTCCTCCGTCATTATTAAAGATCCATACTATCGTTAAATCCATCAGTTTTTCCTCTTCTTTAAGTGGAGTCAGTTTTTGCGCTGGCCATTGGATTAAGCGTCGGCCGCAATCGTTTAGTAGATTACGCCTGTCTTTTTTATCTAATTCAGGGGCTTACCTTAAGCGGAAGAAACGACTATTTTTTCGTTCAACGAAACCGTCAAAGTATTGCAACAGCAGCTGCTGAGCTACGTGTTAATACGCTACATGATCGCGCTACAGGAGTAGCGACGCATGACGACCAAAATATGGCGCGCATGGTAGTAAATGTATCGGGGATTCGTATTTTACGCTGCAATTCTAAAATTCTCCGTATATGATCTCAGCCTGGTAATAACAGAGATCTAGCTTTGTTTTACGTAATAATATTATATATAGGAGCGAAATGGTTGATGCAAATTGTAAAATGTTCATGGGTCATCATAAATCAAGTGATAGGCTCCATGCTGCTACCATTCATTTAGTGAGATTTCAGCTTAGAAATTATTTTTTGTCCCATCGTTGAATACCTTTGCGGTTTTTGGCCTAAAAATAATAATTACTGAGTGCGTCATGGCTGTTTTTCCTTTTAGTAATCATCATTCATTTTAGTAACATTAAAAATTTTAGAATCAGGCCTTAAAATTAAGTAACTCAACCATCCAGGCTATGAACTGTTTAACATAAGCTACATAACACTTCTTTGCTACGACCCTGTGCTTAAATCGTTTTGCTCTTATTATTCCCAAAGGCCTGATTGTATCATTTGTTTGATTGTCACGCATTGTTCTTCTAATATGGCAAAGCGGTCTAGGTAACAAATTTGAATATAAAACAAAAAGGGGCAAGCTGGTATACCTACGGCACTATCTGAGCCTCCATAAAGCAACGCTTCATCAATGGTTGAAATGGCAGACTTCCGTTATAAGACGCTACGTGGCTTTTATAGAGGACATCGCACCCTCTATAGAACAGGTTGGACATGGACGATTCGCAGAAACCTAGGGTTCGTCCTTTGTAATAAACTGTTCATTCTTTTTTATCCAAATAATTTGTAAATGTCTGCGTGAATATATCTGACACCCTTACGTAGCACAAAGTTTCTGAACTATCAGATACACATACTGGTAAAGGCTATTCTATAGAGACCTAATTTCATGGTATACTCTGTGGATTAGGGAATGATAGTGACACTTCGCTTTGATCCAAATGGCCCCCGAAAAACTACTGAGTGCAAAGTCGCCTCTCTAGAATTTTCTGTCGATGAGACACATATTTTTTTTAACTTATACACCACTTGCCAAGCTTTAGACTAATAAGCTGCTATAATGATTAGAAAACATTTTTTGCAAGCTAAAAATGTGCCTGCTATTCTTGCAAATTATATTTATGATACAAACATGTTATTTGCTCCCAGCACCACTATCAAGATTCAGTTTGCGCACGCAAAAAGGCACGTTTTTGTCGCACGACTAATCTTATGGTTGTAGGAGTGCTCATAGAAACATAGAACATCTATCCATTTTCTGACAAGGCAATCTATTAAAGTTTACAGTTGCATCTCTCTGTTGTTGTTGCTGCTATAGATAAACAAAACGTCTTTTGTTTTTTTTTCTGTGAAACTTAACCGTCGTCAATCACGGAATAGTTTACGTCCAGCAATTACAAATTATATAGAATTCTTGTTCTCCATGCTGAATACTCTGTGACTGGGACAACTACTTCTACATGTGCACTGATAGTTTATGCCGTCTGAGGGGTTCAACTGAAGTTGTTTTTGCATTAGCGTTAGGTGGCAATGAGTCGTGTGGCTGCCGATGCCAATCCGAGCAGACACGCGACCGAAGGCTACAATCAAAGGGGAGCAAGGTAGAGCCTATCTAAGTAACCTAGGAATGATTCATAAGCGTTTATTTATGCAAATAAAATTCTTCAATCGAACAGGAACTATGAGTGCCGCATTTTAACTCGATTGTAACTCTTCCTGCAACTATTCAATACATTCTATTATATTTTATTAAGCTAACATTCTTATCGCTGATATTGAAGAGGTTATTGTGTATTCGACAGTTTACTATAGCAGCCTTACCTTATATTTATTTTTATTCAAATCCATAGTTGAATTGTACCTTATTTCAAAGGTCGGTCAGATGTCTACAGGTAATGGCGGCAACATTCAGCTTGTCAGTATTTCAGCAGACGATCACGATGTCGCTGTGGCAATGGCTTAACTCCGTAATTTACATAAGCTTTCAACGGGGAATATGTTAGAGCTTATAATTGTGCCTTCTAGTCTTTTACCTATCTATAAATCAACTTTAGCTTTGTGACAGTATAAGGTAAGGTATATTAATGGCATTCGATACAAACGTATTAAAACTTCATTGGGCCTTTCCAATTGTGAAAAGACTTTATAGCAACGTTCAGACACTTTTTACTGGGTAATATCAAGTGCTATTCAACTGCTCCCATTTAGCAATTTAAACATCGATACGTTTTCTCAACGCGTAGCAACGCTTTCAGCGCGTGTCATTTATTTCCAAAACACCGGTCTATATGATAACACACGACCTGAACAGATCTGCTCCCAACCTGTACAATTAAATTATACTATTCTCCCAATGGGTCCGTGTTTATTTACAATAACGACTATTAAATTTCTACAAAGCTAAAAAACAAAAAAAAAACGCTAATACCCATTTCAACCACATATATAGCAATATTAAATCAACAGTGTTGTTTTCCCACCATAGGAAACCGATATGTCACACAACGTCCGAATATATGTACCTTCTGTATATTTTACACACTGTTGCATTGGCCTTTGTCACCCCCATCAGACCGACAATGACGCTGCCGCGTATCTTCCGCGGTCGTCATTGTGTTTGAGCTCGACATTGATTGCAGTTTGTCTGCTGGCAACCATCAACAGAAGTAACTTTCATTCACTTCACCGCCCACCCGTCTTCCTAGCCTAATTTCTACGGTATCGCCTTTGTCCATAAACTGTCAGTTGTCTTCGATGTGTTCTATTGGTATTAAAATATAGATACAATACTGTGTCCGAACTGAATATGATTGAAGATTGAGACACTGATCAGAAGAAAATGCTGTTTATGGGCAATACTAACTGTGAGAAGCAGCAGCTTCGGGCAATATCGGATAGTGTCGAACGAGTTCGTTTGTCAGTGTTCAGCGCTGGCGGAAAAGAACACATTCGCTAGAAGTTAGGCACAAAAAAGTTCTGACCGATTCGCTCCCCTTCGATCCACCATCGCTGGCGAAAACGTTCAAGCAAATCTGCTACGTTATATAACATAGCTATCGTCATGCCTGTTACGAAGTTCGCGCTTTTCGATAGCTAATGCTTTATATACGCGCAAGCCATAATGCTGTATGCCAAACCGCCATTGCCCGTCACAGAATTTTGACGGGCGCATCAAGACCTTTATCAAAAGCTTCAGCGGCAGTGAAAGCTTATCGAACTTTAAGAGCATATCATTAGCATTACCATCACCGGCATCAACGTCGACTTCAGCTTCAGAACGGAAAGTACCACATTACAGCCAATTACTAGTGTCGATGAGATAAACACAATGTCGTTTGGACGAATGCTACCTAACAATTGTCGATGGCTTTCTGACTAAGTAAACTAGTAATGTAACACATATTTAAGAAGCAATCAAAAATAACAGATTTGTTTATCTAATTCAATCTGTACTATTGAACAAACAGATATTTGTTTGTTCTCTTTAAATGTTAAGAGTAATTTGTAAGTTACAAAATCAGGGTCGCACAAAAAATCGAATAGTAAAGAAATGAGGTGGCCCAGTAAGCCAATCATTATTATACTGTTGACAAGTAATGGGATGCCGACAAATGGCGTAAATATTCGTGGCAAGATAATTAAGGGAAGAGAATTAGCTACAGTAATTAAAATGCAACTGTATTATTACGTTGTTATTATCTATAATAGATATACCCATCTAGCAAGGTCGCGTAAATAATCCTTCAAAATTGGGTGGACTGGAACAAATCGCTGGTTTAAGAGTAAGACCTCTTTAACGACCAATTAGATCAGGTCAAATATATAGGTAGCATATATCCGCCAAAAATAGTGCGTTCGGTGGTTTTGCCAAGGACTGAGCGAAAAATTCTATTATAAAAAAAAAGAAAGCATCAAACATCGTGCTTGAGAACTAACAGTCTTAGTTGCAATTTATGCTCCGACAACAGCAGATACTACTTCCACTTACCATAACTTATACTTAGTCCCTGCGTTATATCAGGTTGACTGAATATTATTACATCATAATCAATCATCATGCTAGCGATTACAATATTTTGGAATTCATTGATTCGTTTAGCGACTATATCGAACTTGAGTGGTAGAACAAAGTATAGCATACAATCTCTAAAGCTGTAGCAACTTTGTAAATATTGTTTCTGTTTTGTAAACCTAACAAAACTCTAATGTGTCTCGACTCTGCAGGTTTAACAAAATGCTTTTTATTAAATAATATTTTTAGACTGACGATACGACAACGACCGAAGAACCAACGACAACGCTTGTGCCAGTTCGTCAAGCCTGGGCGAAGCTCGAAAATGGAATGAAGAAGGTTATTGATGAACAACTCAGGTAAGCCTTTGCCTAGAACGTCATCAGGACGCCTCATATAGGCGGCCTGAGGGGGTCGCTCTCAGTGAAGAAAAACTGGCGGCAAAATTTAACGTTGTCGCTGGTATAAATTCACACCCAACCAAAAAATATTAGCCGATTTTAGCCGATAGAGCATTACAATTATTTCTATATATTTCATTCGTTACTATGTTCTTAATACAGGAAATTTTTGCCACGGATGTTACGCGCCTCATCAGAGGCCGATATGAGTGCTGAATGCCAGGCTGCTAACTTCAAACTGTTCCAGGGACTCCGTGGCCTGAAAGCTTGGGCTTTTCAGAGTGAGTAAATAAATAGGCCTACTTCGAATCGATACCTTTTATTGTACGTGCAAGTGCTCGACATGATTATATGACACGTAAGTCACGAGATAGACCGACTTTCCATTACATTTTAATATAAAAACGAGTTTCTAAAAATAATAGATACCGTAAGCTTTATATCTAGCGTAAAGTATTACTTATTTTTAAGCACTGCGCATTTTGTCCCATGGCGAGCACGCTGTGTATTTGGTATATATCAAAGCTTACGGAGAATTTAGCATCATTTGTCCTATCTGTACTAATCAAATTGAAACGTTCCGTGGATGTTGACTTTATTCACGGCATCGTATGTACTCAGCCGCGGATGGGCGTCAAAACTGCTTCCAGAAATTTTATTTTAGAACACGCCTCTAGCACGGCGTAAATGCGCCCAATAGATCTGATCTTTTTTTACGTATATTGATTGTCAAAATAACCTATGCATATCTTGTTTCACACATCTCTATGAATTGTAACGCAGAAAGGTTGAACGGGACGCTTTCTGGTCATGTGTTTCGGCCAGTTTGGGATCAAGACGGCGTATGGAGGGCGGCATAACTGCGCGCCCTTGATGCTTGTCCGCAGTAACTATTCGTCTGGTAAATTCGAGAAAACGAGGTGAACTTGTTAGTGACTAAGTTGACGGTGTTAAGGAGACCCATTCCGTTAACATTCGCCTGGTATTCAGCATTGTTTCGTTCTTTCTATTGCATTTTCATGAACGTTACTAAATGAACGCAAATGTTGAGTGAGAAACTCACACCTGTAATAGACTGACCATTATTAGCACCCTCAACCTACGTTCTAGAGATCCTACAGTCAGAATGAATCAGCAACACTGCACAGGCCGTGAATAAATTAGACATCAGTAATACTTCATATTAACATAATGGCTTCCCTCCTTTCCGTGCAGCTGTTTTTATTCCGACGTTGCAGTTACCTTCCCGACTCAACCCTTATCAATAACGGTCTTGATTATTATATTTGGCAATGCACACGAACTTGCACAATGGCAACAATCGGTGCCGTTGGCAAAATCGAGGGACTTCTCGTCATATCGTCGCAAAACACTGCACCGGGTCTAATATTACGTATAGCAATAATAGCGTTTCTTGTGTGCGTTCATGGGGGCTGTCTCTCAGCGCGTTTATTGGTCTGCTGTATGATCTTTTAGTTGTCTTGTTGTTCTTATGGGGTTCGGTGGCTACGTCAGCGCCCGTTCCGGCATCCCTTGCGTATGCAAACGCTGATCGTTAACATTGATATTAGATAACGATGCTGCTGTTATTGTTATTGTCGCTATTGGCGATAAGACGATGGCCATTTCTCTTTGCATGACACAAATGATAAGAGTGATATTGGAGCGATAAACCGTTTTATGCGGTTTTCCTTTTCCCCTACTCTCTCTTCTCTCTCTCTGGCTCAAGTTTAGCTACTATATATAACAAACACGATGAACAACAACAACATTAAATAGAATATGGCCGATGCGGCGCGAGATGCCTCTCGCGAGGGCAACCGAAGTTGGTTTTGGATTCTTTAGCTGAGCGGAAAGGACCTCTTCCATTCTGTATGTTGCCAGCTTACAGAAGATAGAAAAATGCTCGGGCCATGTGCGGCGCCATCTACCGCCATTTTCTTTGTGCCGAATCGGCTCAAAGTGACTACTGCCGCTTGATTCGTACACATTAAGAAAGCCGTTACTTCTATTCCTGCCGGTTGGAATGGCTCTAATAAAGGCAAATATTTGGCCAGCTGTCGGCGGCAGCGGCGCTTGTCCCACGGCCGCCGGATCCAATGACAAGGATCACTATTATTATGTCTTAGTACTGGTCGTGGAAGTATTCGATTAAACGTTACGCCACCGAATAAAGCTGCAGATCGTGGCTGACGGGGACGTCCACGGCTATAAACACGGAACATAAATGTGTCGGAGAAGGCAGCTATGGGTGGTCAACATCGACACTTTCTTATGCGCTGTTATTTGCCCATTCGTCGGAACACGGGATGCCGATGATCGCCTACAAGTGATTTGCTTGAGCCTGATCGGCGTTTTGTTGTTGCTGACATTTTCAATATATCGTGATATGTCCATCTGTCTGTATGTGCTTTTGAGTGAACGTACGCGGGTGCGCACACTAGCACAAAGACGAACCCGGTGCCAGCAGATCCAGGACACGAAGTGGTATCGATGTAGTATAGATTACTGTTTGGAACCAGCCTGTGCTCGAACGGGCAGCGAGCGAACGTGGGGAAAGCCCCAGGAACGGGTAGACCAAAGGGGTTGGGCGAAGAATTTTGGTAGGGAAGGGGCCCTTTAGTAGGAAGGAATGCGAGTTAGCCGCAATTGTACGTTTCCATCTTCCAGATTATCAAACAGCAGCAACTGGGGTGTAATTCTTCGGCGATCCACATTGCTTGATCGATTCGTGTGAATTTTGTCGCCAGTGATAACTGGTGGATTTTATGACTTTGCTGGTGGCCATCAAAAATAGTCATTGTTATGTAACGAGTTTTTTACTTTCGAGATGTTCCTGATGTGAGCTGTAGTTCTAACTAGCTGCTAACGAAGCCAGCTCGGTCTCATTGCAAGCAGACGCAAATTTAAAAAAATGTATGTTTCATAATAGATCTGTAAGGGATCAGTGTAGCATTCTAAAAGTTAGGGCGAACGGGCAAATCAATAACGATAATGTCTGACAAAGATTACGTTGGAGCGTAAGCCGTGACCCCCTGGTTGCAATCTTCCGTCAGCCTGTTATGTGTGTAGTAAGCATACGAGATATACAACTACTGCAGTACATGTATATATGTATATATCAGTATAAACGGAGCATCCTTAAGCTGAAAATAACCACCCATCCGATATGGTGATCTATTTAATTATTATAGATGATATTTTGTCGAAAACCGAATCAACTGACGTAAGTACGCCGAAGGCTATTTATTATACGGCAGTCGCGTCGTATTCGTACATATTATGCAACGTAAATAGCTAGATAAAAATGTGCTCTATTCTAATCAATATTACTCCATGCTACCATCAATAATACTATATACTTATTACACTATGCACGTGAAGACGTAATGTAGATGTAGAACTACGGCTACTCGTTTTGACACGGCCCTCATATAACGCAGCTGCAAAATGTTTTTAGACGTAGCTTTTACGTTGCCCGGGATTTTTCTCGAATGATTGTATTATACATGTTTTCTATAACTGTATTTTTTTTCGTGGGTGGTGGTCAACTTCCTGAATAATTTTGGCGCTACACAGCTGATCCGCGGGTGACCGGACATCATTATAATTTACATTGCCATACAGCCAGCAACATCGTGATTGAAAGAAAATTAATGGTGAAACGTGTCGTGGCGTACTTGAGCCATTGTATATCGTTTGCTAGGCAAATCATCGGACGAGCGAGACCAGATCCATTTCGTGGGCATAGAGGGGTATACTTTGCCAAAAAAAAAGAAAGTGGACTAATATAAGGCATGACGCTATTGCCACACGATACGCAGTAGCAGCGATAACAGAATCGTGTTACTATTACTATGTTGTAACCGTACTATCGTCAGTATAGGTTATTTTCCGCTATGCTTCAATGAAGATTCATATAAATAGCCGATAACAGATAAATAGGCATTCGTTCTTTGTTCCGGCAATAGCCTAGTGGGTAACACGGTCTAGGTTCGAACCCGGACATAGAAACTATTTATTTCGCCCTGGAAATCAGCCAGCGTTCCGACGTAATGATGGAACGGCTCTGCATTAACTGCATCAGTACACAAATGTTTTCAGTTTCCGAATCCATCCGAAAAATCTCCGTTCTAATCCGACGGTAGAGGATCACACTGTTAGTTTGTTGACCTACAGCAAAATTTGAGACCGGTACATATTGTACATTCTATTTGGATACATAACTGTTTAACAACTAGAAATGTTCATGTATTTGGTTGGTCGTGTCCCTATAATTAAAGAATTATTAAAAACTAGTCTTAGTTTAAGAAGTAACAGACGACACCGATGTAGGATGCCTTTTGTTGCTACGATCGTAGTGTTTTTCTTGAAAAACAAGCTATGGAAATATGGCCATTGTTTTAGCCGCTCGTCATGGTATCATTTCATATTAATGTGTGTATCCAGTTTCAACAGAGTTCTTGCGAATTGGTCTGATAAAACGGGTCGCTGTGAATCTAGAATTTACACCGTTTCAATTGAGGCCTTCTTGTAACTTACTACTGATATTGAATTGTTACGTGCTTACGTGTGCTGCTGAAGACTTCCACCTTAGCTAGCTCTATATCCCGATGTCAGGATTGCCTTTGTTAGTTTCTGTTTCTGGCTTTAACTCGTAGCCCAATGCCAACTCGAGACATAATAATCAAAGCGCCAGCTCATGCTTCGGAAACGCACCCCGATCAGATAACATTCTTGTCGTTGTTTCAAAGGTTTAAAAAAAATTTACATCTAAAAACATTATCGCCAGAGAGCTGCCTCAATACAGACAGCTGGGTGTAACGGTTTGTATTAGACTTTTAATTGTTCCTAATTTTCTGTTTCTTCTGTGTAATATATATATATATATATATATATATATATATATATATATATATATATATATTAAAGGATTTTAATCATTTTTGCCGAATTACATATAGTAATAATGTCTGTTACTGTTAAGGCTATTTGCACAGAACTTTACAAAAATTACGATGAGTGTGCATAGTTATGCACGAGCTGCAGAGCGACGGATGGACGGACGCTCATTGATAGGACAAGTGCACTTTCCCGCAGCGTAGTCCTAGAACGCCAGTCTGCCCACGACAGTCCCTGATCCAAGCTTTTGGCCGGCCGTTTGTCAATACAATGGCAGGTCTATGTGAACATGTTAAATGTGTTAAGTATTACTACTACAGCGGTCGCGACGGCCGCCATTCTCTGACCCAACAGCGCAGCTTAACCCTAAAATGCTTCA